CGGAGCCTGTGTGCTGGCTGTGTAGCAAAAGCTGCTAGCGCAGGGCTCCAAGAAGCCTCTCCGTGAGTTCAGCGCCGAGCAGCTTTGCACGTCCCTAACCTTCTCTGACCACAGAGTCGCATTTGTACTCCCTAGATAGCACCTGGCCACAAAGTAATAAAACAAACCACTATAGTGATTATACTCAAATAAAATGATCAGAATTTTGAAAACAGGAATTCCTTATGACAGCATGTTAGCTAAACAAGTCATGCATTTCTTTTTTTGGTACCAAGGATCAAACTCATGATGACCTTACTCTTGCCAGACAGGTGCTTATGCTGCTTAACTATCTCCCCGGCCCCCATGCAGTTCTTAAAATTTTGAGAGATTATACAAAGAAAGGATTTTCTAAGATTTATAGTATTAATTATACCTACTTTTTTGCTTGGAGGCACCAGCTTAACCTGATATACTGAGAAAGGCTGCGAGAATGGAAACATTTGTTTCAATATTTGGACGCTACATAACTACAGCTTTATTCTTAAGCACTATAATTATTTTTCCTTTAGAACCTTGGAACTGCTGATTAGCCAATTCATTTTATGGAAAATTTATACCATATAAACAAATTGGCAAAATTAGTCCTTATTGTTATCCCAATCAGCCGAATTAGACTCAATTTCTATTAAAAAGAAGCTGGTAGGTGTCTGGGTACAGCTCAGCGATTGTGTTCAAGCTTAGCTCACAGAAGACCCCTGCTTTGGGGAACAGATGGAGGGGGTGTCAAGTGAACAGCATTGTCACTCCCAGGCTCACTTGGCAAGAACATACCAGTGCAGCCCACCCTACCACATTGCTGCCTTAGACCACCCTAACATGTGACAGCCCTCTGTGGAGGTGGCCCATAGATACGGAGCCCTCCAGGGGACTCCAGGAGAGGGCTCCAGTGTCCTTTTGTCTACTGCCTGCCCCTGCTGATTTACCAACCCACAGCCATGAGGGCGAGCTAGGCTAAGGCACGCACTCCTGTAAATGGCAGGTGGACCTGAAAGCAGAGCTGGGACGCTGCAGTCTGCCGCCTGCAGTTCCAGCTGCATTTCCAGGCAAATTTTGGGAAAGAGTGGGGCTGGGAGTGTATCTCAGGGGTGGGGTGGGGGGAAGTACTTGCCTAACTGCCCTAGGGCCTGCATTGGTGGGGGGGGGATGAATTTAAGGAAAAGGCATGTATAAAATATGGAACAAATTCTCTTAAAACTATATCTGCATGGAGATACCACTTGGAAAATCTCATAGCTGCGAACATAACACTGTTAAATGTCTTTTCTTTTCATGTATTTGGTACAGGGTTGTACTACGATTGGACTCGGAGTGATCCTCCTGTTTGCAGCCTCTCAAGTGCGTGCACGCCACGATGCCCAGTCTCAATCACCTTCTCAGTGCACCCCAGCGTGGGACACAGCGCGAGGGGGATCAAGCCCTGCCGCTGCGCTCTGCCCAAGCAGGTGCTTTAGTCCTCTGAGCTATCTGGCTGGCCCTAAATGTTACGTCTTAAAGCCCCTCCAGATGAGGTTTTGCTGAATCAAATGTTAACATCTTACTTTTTTAAAAAGGGAAGCATCTGGGGCCGGGGAGATGGCTCAGTGGAATAAGTGCTTCCCTGGCAAGTGCAAGGACTTGAGTTCAATTCCCGGTTCCACCAAAAAAAAAAAAAATGAGGTAAATACGGACTACTGCATAGGTAAAAAATTTCATAAAAAAAAAAAAAAAAAAAAAAGGGAAGCATCTCTCAGTTTTATTTTTTAGATAATTTATTGTTAAATGGAGAAGTCACAAAGCAAAATAGAATGGGACAGGGGTCAAAGACAGATTTAAAACACAGTTTTGT